ATATAGAAATATAGAAAAACCTATGTAAGTTCATTGGCTTTAATTTAATTTATAATTTAATACCTTTTCTAGTTAATTTTATATGGGAGAGAGAGAGAGAGAGAATAATAAACTAGAGAGTCCTAAATATATATTGTATGTTTATTCTTATAATTTAAAATAAACCTTGATTTCTTTCTCTTTTATTCTATATATATTTATATCGGGTATATATATAAAATGTCCCTTCTCCTGCATCCCCGAAAAAATTCTTTTTTTCCCAAGCCAACTTTATTTTTAAAACCTAACCCATATAACCAAACCTATTTCTGTGATTCAAAACTAAAATTTACTATTAACTTATTCTTACCTTCAAGAAGACTCAAAAATTCACATAGCATGTTGAAAGCTGTTAACGAACTGCGAGGAATAAGAAACACATTATTGACAAAATATCCATGACCGTCTACCTATTCCGTAAATGTAAACAAACACTTCTTCATCTGCTCTCTACAACAAATACAACGTATACAAACTTCACTTTTTCTAATATTACTTTATAATACCTGAGAAAAAGCATTAAAGCTGTGAAATTTTAATTTGTTATATCTCCTAAACTAATGCCGTCCGCCACTTATTTCTCGCGGGGAATTATTCAGAAAAACCTCCCCTATAACATATTTAAGTGGGTTAAATCGGAGATGTATCTTTTATGCAATTTTACCAAATTTACAAATAAAAAGAGAATTATAAGGAATATTCATACATATGCAATTGATTCATAGAATTATATAAGAATAAATTGACACTGTACACATAAAAAATATATTAATATGTACTATACAGGATATTTTGTTTTAGGATATAATTACGCTCGGTCTTTGTTTACCAGCATCATGTTGTATAAATGATCTAAGTTTAATTCTGAAAAAAATATTTCGCGATAGAGTTTTCTCTATCAGTGACCTTTATTCCATGGATTTCAAATTGATCGAGGTTAAAAATCTGAAAGACGAACAACAATGGTTACTTAATGATACGATATTCTTCATCTGGTAAAATGCAAAGAAAATATATAATTAATAATATATATAAAATAATTATTATTTTATCAGAGCATATAATAATACATTACTTTAAAAAAGAAACACTTCTCATACGCTAAAAATTGGACTATTTTCAAACCGCTGAAACTCCGCGAAATATCCACGGAGAAAAAATTATAAAAATATTTTGAAGCTTGAAATTTCAACTTTTTAACGCGCTTTTGCCAGTTCAAAAAAATTTGTTTATTTTCTTTTGTTCTGTGATTTAGAAAACAAAACATTGTTTTGTTCTTTAAAATTACATATTTTGGTACTTTGCAGTTCAATAAAAAATTTTTCTCAAAAAATTTAAGTCACATTCCATAAACTACAACATTTTGCCTACAAAACGCTTTTTCTCATTTTTCTACGATCTTCGACCGAGTTACATGATTTTGAAACTAAACCTGTATTTTTTAGAAATCTTTTTTTAGGGTACAGCATTAAAAAGATAAAAAAAGGTTTTTAAATTACCGATAGCTTGTTAAAATTTAAACTTCAAGCTTTCTTAATTTTTTGCCAAGTATTGATATCATTTCTAAAAAGTACAGATTTATTTTCAAAATTGTATAACAGCGAAAAAAAAATTGTAAGAAAATTTTAAAGAAAGATTTCTCTAGACACAAAATGTTGTAGTTTATGGAATATGACCTAAATTTTTTAAGAAAAATTTTTTTATTGAGCAGTAGAATGTCAAAAATACGTAATTTTTAAAAACAAAACAATTTTTTTTTTTTTTTAAGCAGAATAAGGAAGATAAACAAATTTTTTTAAACCATTGATAGCACATTAAAGTTGATACTTCAAGTTTCAAGATGCTTTTTTAATTTGTTTGCGATGATTTTTCGTCGAGTTTGGACGGTTTAAAAATAGCCCAATTTTTAGCGTATAAAAAATGTTCTCTATTTTTTTAGTGTTTATTTTATAGGCAAATTTTTGTACAACTTACAAAAGTTTTGAAATAATAGAAAGATATATTTTATATTTATTTTATAATTGCAGTATTTTAGCGTTTACTTTTTTCATAATGATAATCGGAACAATATACGACATATTTGTGCATCAAAAAAAGGAAAAATCTTTAGTTCTAAAGGATGAAACTGCAACTAGTAAGTATTGTATTTGAAATCACTTAAAAACTTTTTATGAATTTCGATAACAGATTATTCATAACTTTGATTATGTATTATAATCGTATTTGAAAAAACATGATTATGCTTTGTACATCAAAATGATATTTAACTATTTTAAAATCAGTGTATTTTCAAGTCAAGTAAGTCAATAAGGATATACTTTAATAAGGATCAGCAAAAATTTATATAAATTTATATTAATAGTCATCTTGTATATGCATATATTTTTTATTAAATTTAAATAATTCTTCTTCTTTCAAGTTTTCTCATCTAATCAAAGCGTATGTATTTTTATATAAATATATACTGAAAATTGTGTATTATAGATGTGATGAACATACCCGAGAAAATGAAAATAACATCGTTTTTACATCGAGAAAGTAGAATTGGAAACATACTAATATGTTTTTCCGTATACACAAATACAAAAATAATATTTCGCACGGAATTGGATGCCGACGCAGTATCTACTATTCACGGTTTAAAATTTCTAGGTATGAGTTGGTTAGTTTTTATTCATACCTTATACTTCATGCTGGATTATATCGGTGAGTAATTCGGAAAAAATTTATAAATTTGATATACATATGTCTTATTTTCTACATATAACAGAGATTAATTTGTACACATAGATAATAAAGCATTATCAATGAGATTCACCTTGGATTCCGTCCTTCATATATTATTTAATCTAATCATGCCAGTAGACACCTACTTTTTTTCAAGCGGATTTTTAGTAACCTATTTATATTTGAAAGATAAAATGGGCAAAGAAAATACTAGGTCGATTAAATACAAAGAAAAATTAAATGAATTCTTTATTCATATAATAAAAAGATTTATTCGGTACGTTTTTCTCTTTCCTTATCTTTATTTATACAGACAATAAACAAGAACAATGTATATAAAAACAATTTAGAAATAAAATTTAATATTGACATAAATAATAATATTATCTCTTTTTATGAATACATATTAATATCTCAAAACATTTTATTTTAAGGTTGACACCTGCATACATGATGATGATAGGAATAGTGCAATTAAATTCGGCTTGGTACGACATGAATTCACAATTTTACCCAAAACATAGACTGTACGAAATTTGCGCGAAATATTCGTGGAGAAATCTGTTATACATAAATAATCTATTCGATTTAGATTCGATGGTATAAATATATTTAAAATAGTTATAATTAGTTTAATATTGCTAAAAGAATAATAAAATTTTATTTTAAATTTTCTATTTTCTTATAGTGTATGCTTTGGAGTTGGTATTTAGCCAATGACATGCAATACTTTATAATTGCTATTGCGCTATTGATTTTGTCAACTGTGTAAGTTGATCTATTGATGGTATTATAATCAGCACATACTAGGCATATATTCAAATAAATATAAGTTGCTAATTTCAGGTACTTTTACATAGCTGCTGCCATTCTGGGTGCACTTTTAATAGGCTCAATTGTACTTACCGGTTATATTTCATATATTTACGAATTTGTTCCGACGTAAGTGATAAAAACATTTTGCTAATTATGAGATGGATTAAATATTTTTTTATTGCAGGTTAGATGAACAACGAAGACTTGTAAGTGTCTTCTACTATCCCCCATGGATCAGAATAGGACCATATATTATTGGCATAATTACAGGTTACATTATAAGAAGACTAAATAAAAAGTTGCTCTTAAAAAAAGTAAAATATAATTTGATTTTTATATGACTTTAATGTGAAAAAATACGCAATTATTATTTTATATCCAAATTATTTTATATTTTATATCCAAAATAATTTTTTTTTAGAAAACTGTGATTTTATGTTGGTGTCTTAGTAGTGCGTGTATTATTTTCGTGTGCCTTTCTCCGTTAGTTTTTTATAAACAGAACGTATCTATTCTGTATGCCGCTATCTATGTTGCATTAAGTAGAACACTTTGGGCCATTGGTATAGCATGGATTGTAATAGCTTGTTTTACTGAGCATGGTGGTTAGTACATTTAATAAAATATATATAATAAATCTTATCACATACACACATACATCTATATACATAAATAAGCTGTAATATTATATTTGTGACTTGCATCTCTCATTTAATTTATTTTCAATTTACACTTTTATAAGTTTTATTTTAATAAATGCTGGCATAAAAATAATACTATAATTTTAAAATATCTTATTTTTATCATCACACATATACATACAAATTATTTTATTGTGTTACAGGTATTGTTAATCAGTTATTATCATTCAAAGTCTTGATCCCTTTTAGCAAACTTACTTATTGTGTTTATCTCGTACATCCCTTTGTCATACAATCGATTAATCTGTCTAGTGAAACACCCGTTCATTTGCAATTACTGCCTGTGGTAAGTAGAGATTATCTCTAAAAAAAATTTGTAGTACTGACAAAAAGAAGACTTCTTAACATTTATTATCAATTTTTAGGTTATTATGTTTATAGGATACTTCGTGATTAGTTACATTTGCGCTTACGTATTGTCTTTAATGGCAGAAATACCGTATATCTCACTAATACGAATGTTCCGTCAATCTCGCAATAATAAAAAATATCCACAGCGCAAAATATCGTAATATTGCATGTCAAATTATAATCAAAATACTGCAATATTGAAATATATTAACGTAAAAGTATAATATTTTCCCGTTTCATAAAAAATTCTTTGTTTCATAAAGGGACGTCAAAAGATCGTATAGCGTCATATCAAGTGTAATACACAGTCAGACAGATCGTACATATCTATATGTGATTCATCTAGTTAAGTACTTTAGATTATCGGATCTCAGTTACACTTAAATTGATTAAATTTATAATAGACTTAATCGATAGTTTGAATTCCTATTATTTATAAAAATGTCATTATTTTTATCATATAGTTGTCATATACTTGTTCTACTTGTGCTTTAAATGAAGATATCACAAAATATTTGATTATTTTTACTTGTATTAAAATTTACAAATGGAAATAAAAGCCATAAAATAAATTTTGTTTATCAATTATGTAAGATAATAATCGCACATATCACATATATGTGTTACGCGCTTTATAATAATTTAATTTTTGCATAAATGTATCAAGTAGTAATCGTATTGCCCACTTTTAATAAACATTATTGTTATCACTAATTTTAATAATAATTATTTGTAATAATAATCACCAATTTTAAGAATAATGGTTTGTAATATTATCGATTCTCTAATATAATTTAATTATTTCGTAATATAATAACTGTTTGTAATAATAATCATGTATCAAAAGAGAGACCGAAACATTTATCTGGATAATAAAAGATATTTTTTGAAAATACTTACTCGTGCGCCCTGTTTTCTGCGCTTGATTATCATTAGTCCATTTCCTTTTTGTTTTTATAATTATTATATAATATAAATAGCAAGCAGCAATGGCGATTACACTATTTAAAAATAATAACACGGAGAAAAGTTTGCTAAAGCAACTAATAATTATTATTTTATGTACGCTATTATTGTATGACCATTTTTTTCTCTTGTAAGTCGCACTTTCGCGATCCAAGTTGACCAAATCCGCGATTTTTTGTTAAAAATTACAAACGTTATGTCAGGGCACAATCCTCTTTTCTAAATTAACTTCTTCGCTTGCACTCGTCGACTTACACCACGATAGAGTCCATTATCGTCGCAGATACCGACCCTCTCTCGACGAGGGGTGGATTCTTCTTTCTTTACGATGGCGGTTTTGGCAACAAGCTCGTCGTAAATTCGGCAGATAATTCTCTCATCCTAGCGTTAACCTACATTAGATGCGATTTATTACAGTTTATAACTTTACGGTATTCGACGTCTTTTGGCGACTAAGTTTAACTTGGTGAGTTCTACAAGTGCGGAGTCTGCGGGTTTGCCAAATAGCGCGAATAGCATTCACATTTCTAAAAAAAAATTTTGCGTAACTGAAATCCTGAGAGATTTTGTAATACGAGCTGCGAAACATTATCGCCTTCATGGACTATATATTATCAACTATAGTCACTTATTCCATTCGACGATCACCTGGGAGGGAAAGCGTACTACAATACTTAGCTTTGTTCATCGACGTCATTGTCTAACACATACGCAATACAATTTTTTTCAAAAATTTAACAAATTCATTTATAAAAAAAAATAATAAATTGTTTTATTTTCGAGGAATCAGTAATCACGTAATTGTGCACATTAAAAATTTTTAACAAATTTAAACAAAAAATCTTGAAAAAATTGCTATTGCGTAGTAACTTTTTCTTCTTTTTCTTTAAGTGCCCTGTTTTCTAAAAGTATCGGCGATCAATAGCATGACTTATACTTTATCAACAGCTTCTCTAAAGAGCGATACTGTACTCTATCCAAACTATTGACGTAACTTCTTAAGCCATGATATTTTATGGCATCTTGGACCAGATTTTCCTTCTATTTTGCTTTGATTATTATAATAATTGCAATAGTTTGTATAATTATGCATAACGTCCAAGATATTTTAATTTTTGTCTTTTAATATTATTTAGAATTTTACTTATTTAAACATTGCAGTACTTCCTTAATTAATTTTTTTGACATTTTATGGCATTTTAAAAATTCTTCAGTATGTGCGCATTTCAACAACTCTTTGAACTTTTTGCACATTACATCCGCAAATATCTAAATCTTGATGTCATAACAAAAATTGCTAAAGATAGCACAACGCATATAGCAATTGCGTTCTAAAAAAATTTCCAAATATCTACTGAATAGTATATTTTTCATTTTTATAAAAAAAGGTTTTGTGACTTATTTGAGTCTCTAATTTCTTGCGTTAAATCGCAGTTATCATTAATTCGACAGTCAAGCTATTTATATGATGAAACTCGTTTACTGTTATTTCATTCCAACCTTTAGATTATCTTAGATGTTAAATCGATTTTTACTGATGACGAGCCACTTCATCTTTTTCATGTCAAGTCGCAAATAGATCTGCTCTGATATGCTGACTAAAATCACAAATTTTTGTCAATTTTTTAAACTCATAGCTAACAAAATAATATGATCCGTATAGCTTTGTTGGTTGATTATTATTTCATTTACTACTACATACTCTCTCTCTCTCTCTCTCTCTCTCTCTCTCTCTCTCTCTCTCTCTCTCTCTCTCTCTCTCTCTCTCTCTCTCTCTCTCTCTCTCTCTCTCTCTCTCTCTCTCTCTCTCTCTCTCTCTCTCTCTCTCTCTCTCTCTCTCTCTCTCTCTCTCTCTCTCTCTCTCTCTCTCTCTCTCTCTCTCTCTCTCTCTCTCTCTCTCTCTCTCTCTCTCTCTCTCTCTCTCTCTCTCTCTCTCTCTCTCTCTCTCTCTCTCTCTCTCTCTCTCTCTCTCTCTCTCTCTCTCTCTCTCTCTCTCTCTCTCTCTCTCTCTCTCTCTCTCTCTCTCTCTCTCTCTCTCTCTCTCTCTCTCTCTCTCTCTCTCTCTCTCTCTCTCTCTCTCTCTCTCTCTCTCTCTCTCTCTCTCTCTCTCTCTCTCTCTCTCTCTCTCTCTCTCTCTCTCTCTCTCTCTCTCTCTCTCTCTCTCTCTCTCTCTCTCTCTCTCTCTCTCTCTCTCTCTCTCTCTCTCTCTCTCTCTCTCTCTCTCTCTCTCTCTCTCTCTCTCACATACTCTCTCTCTCTCTCTCTCTCTCTCTCTCTCTCTCTCTCTCTCTCTCTCTCTCTCTTAATTTCTTAAATTGTTTGTATTTATCATTCCAACGATATTATCTGCTTATAACAACTATTTGTTTGTAAATTGTAAGATAAGAAACTTATTTTACTTTACGATATGATTTTTATAACAAATTTTGCCTTGCCTCAATATTTTATAAAATAAACATGGAAAAATAAATAAAGTTTATTAATAAAAAACAAAAACATTTTCGAGATTAATCTGTTAGCAAAGAATAATGAATTTTTATTCTAAAACTCCGTATATTGTATCTAGAGCAAATTTAGTTTTTACATAATTATAAAACAAAAAATACCACGTGTCTTCTCAGATAAATACAGTAAACAGATAAACAAATACAGACATTATCAAAATTCCATTTTTTGCCGATGTTTTTGTAAATAGTAGAATGTATTCCTAGATGCTTTCTCCTATTTTCTAGTCCCTCTTCCACACACACAGTAAACTGTTCATTCAATATTTTCTCAAATGTACCTACAAATGCACTCGTTGCTCGTGAGCTCGTATAAACGATAAATGAGTCGACTTAACAAACCGTAGGGCAAAAATATTATTAAAATTATATACTCATTGGCGAGGCATTTTCGAAGATGAAGTGGCAAATGAAGTACGGGAAATATGGTAAATAAGGACCGATTATAATAGAAGACTTTTCGTGGAGTACTAGGTTTTCACAATTATTCTCCAGCATTTGATGAAGGAGAATAGAGGTACGGATGGATAAAGATGTGGGCGAAGGCGAGAGCGTAGGCGGAAAGGACGGAAGAATTCGAAGTGAGTCTCCCTTCGAGATAGGGGTCGAGGATGGTGGTAAAACTCTCGGCGAGCACTTTTGTTAATTAAATGCCGTTGTTCGGTTCAGCCGGGCTCTTTTGATCGAGTTATCGTTTAAACAGCGTTCGTTTAACAAAAGCTCTCGCTAAGCGAGTTGGGGCTTAAAAAGCAGCCCCTGCAGCGCAAACATATCAAACTACCGCCATTTTTTGCTAATTAAAGCTAATTGCTACTTTCGCGCTGTCATTTCAGCATTCGTTCGTATATTCGTCGTTACAAGTTATTTGCTTTTCGAGCGGCACTTTCCATTCGAAAGCTTAAACGTCGCACTGCATTTTTAGCGTAAGTGGCGTGGACGCTATTATGCAGACGAGACACTATTACACTTGTAGAGTTACACGTGATATATTTTATACGAAGTATATGACGTTTAAAACAGTATTTGTTTCTACGAAGCGACACTATTCGATCTATCGATCGTCATCGTACGTAGGTACATCGCGCGAAATCGTTTCGAACAATTTTCTAATGTTTTCGATCGTTATAAAGGCGTGTGACACAAAGTAAACGGTTCGTTTCGCATAAACAGGGCGCGCGCGCGGATTGATATCATGCGAGAATAGCGAGTGAGCGAGCAAAAAGTTTCGATCGCGTTATGTACGAAGCGTTGTACATGTCCGTGTATGCTCGCCGAAGCGATCATGCGTGCCGTCAAAAGAGTTAACTTAGACGTAGCCACGCACGACGTCACTGACGGCACGTTAATAAATCGGTCGATTTTTTTTGCAGCCCTTTCTTTATGAACGAGCGTTCCTCCCTCTTTCGTGATCGTTCACGTCGTCCCATGCATCGCTTCACGGAAGTCTTTTTCAGCAAAATAAAAAAGCTCGATATACGTTACCACCGATTACCCCGATATTGTTGCTCGTCGAAGCATCATAAAGCTATTCCCGACCGATTACTGTTCTCTCGCGTTGCATAGCTTTTTACGAACGCATTAAGAAGCTTCCTCTTTTATCGCCGTTCCTCTCTCTTTGCATCGCCGTCGTCATTTCGCAGGTGATAACGCCGTGCAATCTCGGTCGACACTTTTCCACGCGGGTTTCGTGCGTCGAGGGAAATATAATAATCCTTGGGTAGCGCCGGCATAAATCGCGTCCTGCCAAGCAGGATTTTATGAGCGATTTGGCGACTTCTTTCTGCATTAATTTTGAAGAAGCGGATAAATTGTTCTTTTATCTATTAAGTTTTGGTTTACATCATAATACTTTTTTTGCATTATAATATCTTTCTATCTAATAAGTGCAAAGAAAAAAAAATTGTTTTGCATGCGGAAAAGTTGTAGTAACGTCATTAAAATAGTTAAAAGTTATAATATTAAAATTACGAAATAGAGATCCTACATCTATCTCTTTTACTCGATAGTTTGTTTTTTGTTTTCTAATCACAATCTTTTAGTTGTAAATTGTGTAGCAAATCACAATTTTTCTCTTAAGTTTAAACTTAGAAAAATGTATCAACACACAAAATCGAAATAAAAAAAAAATAAAAAAAAAACAATTGCATTGTAATCAACTTATACTCATCGAATTAACGAGTATGAAAACCCGATGATTTATAATTCGATAACTATGTCGTGC